ATCAGAGAGCTCGATGCAAGGATTGTGCCCGGGCCCAAATTAGCACCACTGGTGTCATTGCCGCTGGAGATAGAGATCTCATATGCAGCTACTGCCAGAGACTGTTCCTTGCCAGAATTGGCTTAAATTTCTCATCTATGCACTCATCAGTTATAGGTGTCCAAGGGGAAATCTTACTTGATTCGAGGGATCCCAAAGAGAGAGACTGTCAGGGTCTGAATTGATTGTGTTAGTCTACAGGACTTAGTTTAAAAAGTGCTTTAAAACTATTTCAGGAGAGTGGTACTGAATATTATTTAAAAAAAATCTCATCTCTAAAAAAATCATCCCCCTCCCCCAGGCTATCATCAGCAATAGGAGCATCCATTTAATAGTACTGCTAGGGACTCCTAATGACGTCCCTCCACTTCAGACTCTTGAGATTTGAATAGCACTGCGTCTATAGTTTAGTTTCTTGAATTCACAGAAACTAAGGATGTAAAATCCCAGTTAATTGGTTAACAAGTTAACCAATTAAGGGGAGCACAGGGTAGCAGCCCTCTGCCCACTGCAGCCAGGCTGGAGCATCCCTCCTCCCTCACAACTGCAGGAAAGGGCTCCTCCAGACAGCTAAGAGCAGCCCCTGCCTGCGATGTGCCTGGGCTCACCACAGACAGGTGTCACTCTGGATGGCCTCCAACCCTGTCCAATTACCCAGAACCAATAAGCATCACCCATTAAGGTTAATGTTTAACTGGTTAATCTTTCACATCCCTAACAGAAACCAGATATTATCATACATAAGAAATTGTAACTTCACTGTGGGTTCAAGCAGAAACTGAGATGCCAATTCTGCCAGCTACACTGCAGGGATAGACCCTTGAATCCTTGTGGAGACTAATTAAGGATAATGGGAGTTTTCCTGGATTCTTTTTTCAAGATTTCTTTCTGAACAGGTAATTGGGATCCTCTTCTTCAAATAGAGGGGTAGGTAGGTCACAAGACCCTCATATTAAAGTGACTGGCAAATTTTTAATAACCTCTTTCATGTTTGCCAAAGTCTAAAAGTTTCCTTTTAAGTCTCTTGTAAAGGAAGTATAATTATTTCCAGAAGAGTTTCTTCTCAGTATTTAACTATACATGAGTTGTTACGCTGTGTATTAAATAAAGAAAATGCAAAAAATGAGGTGAAATGCTAATAAAACAACCTTCGATTAAAAAAACAAAACCAGTTACAGCTGCTAATGGACAACAGTGTCCTGTCTCATCCCATCATATACCAAGCACATAACAGGAAATAAGTTGTTAATAACATGTAATTGTCCATACAAATACATTATTCTTATAAATTATTAAGAAATACATATTTTACCACAATAGAAAATATTTTCATTGATAGACTGTTGTGAGAAAAAAGTAACATTGTTTCTACCTGGAGTTCAGTATATAAATATTTCCATAAAGGATACATCAAGAGGGAATAAAATTTATTAAATATTTGTATCCATTATTGACATGCATTTGACGAAGTGGATCTTTGCCCACGAAAGCTTATGCTCCAATAAATCTGTTCATCTATAAGGTGCCACAGGACTTCTTGTTGTTTATGCACATCCCTAGCAGTAACTCAGTGTTACGAACAACCTCCATTACTGAAGGGTTTATAAGTCTGGGAAAAAAATTATAATTGTTCTTTCAAAAGTTTACAACTGAACACTGACTTAATACAGTTTTGAAATTTTATAAGCAGAAGAAATATGTTGCTTTCTTTCCTTTTTTTAGTGCAGGTTGAGCCTCTAGTCTGGTGCCATCCTTTGTCCAGCATGATTTTAGTTACCCGTTTGTTCATTTATCATGAGTGTGGCCAAGTTTCCTGGAGTCTCAAAGTTTGTCTATAGTCATCAGTTCAGGCTCTCAGTGTTCTGTACTGTTATTTAGCTCTAATTCACTACTAAACATCTTCTAAGAGCCCAATAAGCAGTTGACGTGTTGGTAATGCTGCTAAACAATATCGACCTTCTGTGGACCAGGAAAATTCTCTGGTTTGGCACTAGTCAGGTCTCCAGGGTGCCAGACTGGAGAGGTTCAACTGGTATCTTACTTTTAACACAGCACTTCATTGTATTTACTTTTTGGGCTGCCACCATCTGATTTAGAGTCTGGTCCCAAATGAGGTATATGATAGACTGATCAGTTCATAATGCTGAGATTTCATTGTACATGGTTGTGTTGTAACAATCATACATAACGGAAAAAGCACCATAACCTTATTTTCACCTCAGTAAAGGTACCAACCATCCAACATCCTTACACAGAACCGTACACAGAATTGTACAAAAAGAACAGAAAAGGGAATTCTGGTTTGGTCTGTTTGGGTATATCTACACTGCAGTGAAACACAGTAGCTGGAGTTTGATAAGATTTGAAGACAGGATGTTGGAAGGTTAGTATCTGAAAGCACATTAAGGTTTTCATGAACATGCGACTCTAGGTAGTCACCTAAACTAAAAGCTAAGTACTACTACTGGTACTCACTAACTTTTTGTTTCCTTGCTTTTAGATTTACATTAAGTATGTTACTTCCAGAGCAGCCATTGGGGATTGTAGGTATTTACACATAAGAGCATACACATGAAACAAAGAATTTCCAATGTAGGTCTTTTGAAGATGGTGTGATGTGAAAGATCACCATCTTGTATCAGAGTTTGGGGATCTCCTATCCTAGGCAATTTTTTGAAAGTGTCTGCAGTTTGGGGCATTGGGGCAATTGCTGCTTTATAGAATGGTTTACACATGAGAGTCAAGGAAAAGCCATCTGTGACAGAGATTAGAACAGAATGCAGAGAAGCAAAAAATTCCCTCCATTCTTATTTCACCTTAGTGGCAGAATATTAAGAACAGCTTCAAATAGTCACAGAGAGCCCCTGCAGAACATCAGTGAGCTGTAACAAACTACACATCAGAGACTCAGTCACTAGAAAACATATCCATTTGTGGTCACATGGAAAAATGCTAAACAACAAACATTAATAATTAGTCCCTTAATCAAAAGCAAGCTTGAAAACAGCTGATAGAAGTACATACATACTTAGATTGAAGTTTCCATTTTATCTAAGAAGAGATTGTGCAGCCCAGAATAAAATAATTCATCCAAGATAATTTCTTCCTCTCATTGGCAGGTTTTTCATTAACCTATTTATAAATCTACTGCTACTTAAATATATACAATTTAAAATTCATACCTGTTCCTCTAAAACAATTTTATTTTTAATGTGTAAAAAATGAGTTGTCATCCACAGTTATTTAAAGATAACTCTTCCTATATTTGAAATTTGGTCTTTGAACTGATAAAATGATACATATGTTTTTCTCTCAACTCCTTGATAATTTCCTTCATACCTGAGGCACAACATGTTGCTTAAGAAACATTCTGAAGCTGCACAGTTGAGCTGGTATCATTTCCATCAATGCCTTTGAAAAATGTTACCTTAATCTGACAAGCTTTTAAAAAAGAAACAGACAATAGTACATCCCTCAGAAAAAGGCAATCAGTCGTTTTTCTAACGGTAGTTCTCTGATGATGACACATAAGCTAAGATCTGCACACTTCATACAGATTGACAAATGATAGGTCACCATGGGAGAGGGCTAACTTTTAATGGATTTCTTTAAACCTCTGCTAATGGATTTCTTCCCATTCTAGACATTACACAGCTGCTGCATCATCATCTATGAATGATAATTTGCTGCATATAATTAAAAAAGCTAGAGTGCAGTGGACAATATTCTATTGCATTTTATAGTTGCTTAATTTTTATTAAAGAATAAAGGAATAATGTGTTACCTCTGAATTAACAAAGATGCAAGTAAAAAAACAAAATCATTGTTCTCTCTTTTATGGATATTTATAAATATCATATTGGCATGGTAGAAAATGTTTTCTTCAGAGTCCATATGATCAATCTTCCAATCCCTCTTAACGCTTGCATTTTCCGCTTCACAGACTTGAACAGTACCTCAGAACCTAGTCAACTGTTCCATAGGTGTTCCATGTGCCTGATCCTAATTCCATTAGAGAAAAAGGGCAAAACCCTTATTGACTTGAATTTTGCAGGATCAGGACCTATGTCCTAAAGCCAATACCACCAATACCGTGGTGGAAAACTAACATACAATAAGCAGTTGCCTTTCTTTTTGTACAATATATATTGGTTTATTTCTTTTTCAAATGAATGATTAGACTAAATCATTTTCCAAATTATTTAGTTATAGCAGAGTATTTTCCCGCTGCAGGAACAACCACCAGACACTTGTCAGATGACAAGGATTTATTTTTCACAAACTAAACCAAATCAATAAATGCATACAACTACTCACTGCTAAAAATGAAACTCTGGTAACTTTCAGACTTCATGGAATAATTCTTTTCGTTGAGCATTAAGGTCCTCCAGGGAAACAGGTGAAACAAGTATGTACAAGGTCTGAAAAGATTCCTAACTGTACTGACTTCCACAGTGCCCCCCGACCCGCTTTCCCCATGCAGTGAACATCGAGTGATAAGAAAAATGCCATGTCTTACAAGAAGGCTAAGTTGAAGATCACTTACTGCAGCGAAACTGAAACAGGGGCTCCACAAGCGCTTGGAACTCAATGACAAAAATATCGAGGAAAGTTTTACTTTGTCAACATCAGATTCACACTGGAGGTAGCTGCGAAGAGTGCTATTGTTTATGTTAAGATTTGATGTGTGCCCACAACAGGGCACTCCCCTTCCTCGAGAGCCCAGTTCTCTCAGGCAGGTGAAAGTGATGCAAGTGAAAGCTGAAAGTGATCCGACAACAAACGTAAAAGAGGAGCTGGGTGATGGGGGGAGCGAGGGAGGAAAAGAGCGGGACAGACCGGCCCGTGATCTCCGTATTACATTGGGCTACTACCCCGCGCAACGTCCCAGAGCGATCAGTAAAAGGAGGGAGGGAGGCTACTAAGCAGCTACTTTAGGTCCCGGCGTCACTTGTACTTACCCGTTCCCCCAACGCACTGACAATAAGAGAAGCAGAAGCTGAAGCCTCACCCTGCTGCAGGGACTGCACAGAGACCACGGGCAGGAGGGCCGCCTCTGCGAATCCATGGGCGTTAAGTCTCTCTCCTCTGCTCGTCTTACAAGTGATTCTCCAGGAGTTACTCTGCAATCCCGGGGTCCCCCCAGCAGGTAGGCGCGAGAGGCGACAACCCCCCAGCCAGGTAGGGTTCGACTCGAACAGGACCGTGCAGCCTGGCCAATAAGCTCATCAGGTTGCTCCACACATTCTCCGGGTAAGTGCTAGACGAATCAAGCCCTCGCGGGGGCGGAGCCTGCTTACTAGCAGGCAAACCTGCTCGGCAGGGAGGTTGGCGTCTTTTTAAGCAGGAGGCGAAACAAACACAAGCCGCCACAGAGGGGCGTGGATCGCCTCGCGCCGCTTGAGTGAGACCCCAGCGCGGAGGGAAGGGAGCGAGCAGTGCCTCGGCGAGCGGGACGCAGTTGCAAAGCGCTTTAAGACAAAGCAAGGCGGAGGCGCCTTGCTGGGTGTGCGGGGGACAGCGCTCCCGGGGGCAGAGCGCCAGCTCGTGCCCGCCCGCGGCCAGGGACCCCGCGGCGTGGGGCTGAATGCCTCCCCAAGCAGAGTGCAAGGGAGCCACTGGCGTGCAAAGCCCTGCTAGCGCCTCCGCCCACCTGCCGCTCCTGCCTCCCACCCGCGGGCTGCAGAGGACCGGACGCTGTAGCCCGTTCCCGCGCGCGCCCTTAGCAGGCACCTGGAGGCACCACTGAGGCTGCTGCCCACTTCCCAGGCCCGCGGCGCTAGAGCGGGCGGCCGCAGTAGGAGCGCCTGTTTCTCGGGCGGTTGCTATGGGGATGGGATAAGCTTCTGCCCGCCGCGCTCAGTCTCTGCAGCCGCCACTGGCGGAGGGGCAAAGGGTTCACCCCACTTAGCAATGACAATGGTGGGGGGGGGGGTAAGGGCAGTGCACCTCCCAAGTGCTATTTTGAGTCACCTATGCAGTCTCCCACCATCTACTAGATTAATAATGCCTGATCCCTTGCCCACAGGTCTCCTCGGTGGGGCTGGAGCACACAACATCTATGGCTTTGTCTACACTGGTGCGATCTTAGGCAAAAGCAGCTGCTCTTGCGCAAAAACTTGCTGCCTGTCTACACTGGCTTCATGTTCTTGCCCAAGTAAATTGTCGTTCTAATGTATGAAATCAGGGCTTCTTGCAACAGAACTCTGATGCTCCCGCTCAGGGAGAAGCCCTTTTGCACAACTGTTCTTGCGCAAGAGGCCAGTGTAAATAGGCAACATGAATTTCTTGTGCAAGAAAGCCCTATGGTTAAAATGGCCATCAGAGCTTTCTTGTGCAAGAGAACAAGAACTCTTCTGCAAAAGAGTTTTTGCGTGAGAACTCATCAGTGTAGATGTAGCCTATTAGCCTAGGTCCTGCGTCTAGACTGGTGCTTTTTTCCGGCAAAGCTCTGTGCCAAAAAAAAGCAGCAGCCATTTTTATGCTAATGAAGCAGGAGAGATTTAAATCCCCGCTTCATTAGCAATTGTGATACGTCTAATTTGCATCCCTTTTACAAAAAAGGGATGCAATCTAGACGTAGCCATACACTTTATTTCACACACCTATTTTAATTAGGTGTGTAAACTTGTAGGACTGAAGTCTAAATAAAAAATAAATGAGGACAGCAAGTGGGGGGGTGTTTTCTATTGTACTTAATTATTTATTTGAATTGTGTTCATGGCCAGAATCACCCATCTAGACTAATTTTGCACAGTACAGATCTTTGCTAGATAGACTTTACATTTTTAACAGCTTTGAAGTCAGTGTAATTGCATCAGCTTGTCGGTCAAAACATGGTTCCTTTATTTTATAAAAAATTGTCCTAAAACTGTTAAGGCTCTTGCTAATCCATAAAGATGTTATACTAGCCTCTTGATGTCATAAGAGGAAACGGAGACACATTGTCTGTGTGATGTGTAAGCAGATGTACAGAGGCCTGGACCCTGCAACTTATGTCATATGAAGACACTACTGTACCTGTGCCATGGCTCATGAATTTCAGTGAAGCTCCCAATAGAATTGCAGTCTATGCACACAAGAAATTGCAGACCCCACAGCATGTGTAACTGCTAGGATTTTTAACAGTTAGCTACATTTTTAACCAGTTTTACACATCCCTATTTGTAGTTTTAAAGTAGTATACAGGCAGTCCCCAAGTTACGCGGATCTGACTTATGTCAGATCCGCAGATACGAACAGGGATTTTCTCGCCCCGGAGGACTGGAGCAGCGGGACGCCTGGTCCCGCCGCCCGTCTCCTCCGGGGCGAGAAAAGCTGCTCCCCGTCTCCCTGGTCTGCTGCGGGAGCCAGCAGACCAGGGAGACGGGGAGCAAAGCGGCCCAGGACCCGGGGCCGGACCCGTGGCCGCTTCCAGATCAGCTGGAAGCGCCGTGGGTCCGGCCGGGTCCTGCGCGGCTTTGTTCAGCGTCTCCCTGGTCTGCAGACTGCTGTTTCAGTTTTGAAATGGCACTTGTTCAAAACAGTGCCATGGTGCGATTATGCAAATGAAGCACAGGATATTTAAATCCCTGCTTCATTTGTACTTTCAAAGTGCTTCATTTACATCCCTCTGCCAACAGAGGGGGGTAGTTTAGACATAGCCTAAATGTAAGGGGTATGATAAGAGGAAAAGGGGCATATCCACATGTCCTTGTGCTGAAGCAGTACCAGCAGACAGAACAGTCCTTGGAGTCCTGGCCAGTCTGTTGTAACTTAGGGTACATCCATATTAGAGCTGAGAGGTGTGATTTCCAACTCATTACTCATGCTAACATGCTACAAGTAGAAGCATAGCTGGAATAGCATGGACACCAGATCAGGCTGAGCCACTGACTGCACTATGCCAACTGTTCTGGTGCACTACCTTGAGCGGAGCTCGCATAGGGATATCTGTATAAGCTGGAAATCAAATCTTCCAGCACCAGCATAGACATACACTGAGAAGCCACAAAGTTTCTCTAAAGCATCCAGTGGGAGGCTTGTAAAGATGGCTTAACTGACTACAGGAATCCCGAGGCAGAGTTGCTCTGCCCCGGGCTTCCTGGAATCAGCTGCTGATCCGTTTCAGCAGCAGCTGACTTGGGGATGCCTGGGGTTCTTAAGTTGAATCTGTATGTAAGTCAGAACTGGTGTCCAGATTCAGTGGCTGAATCTGGATGCCAGTTCCGACTTACATACAGATTCAACTTAAGAACAAACCTACAGTCCCTATCTTGTACGTAACCCGGGGACTGCCTGTACAAGGGAAAAAAAATAGTTGAAACCAAAACCTGTGAAATTATTCAAAAAGAAACAAGCAAAGCTGATAAATGTAGATCAAGGTAGCTCTAGGCTTTAGCCATTCCTTCTTGTAATTTCTTTCAAAAAGTACATAAAAAAGGAGGACAATCTATGGTAAAGGAGGAAAAGAGGGGCTTTGAAGAGCAAATAGCTAAAAACATAAAAAAATTCGAGGAGTTTTTTAAAGCTTATCAGAAGCAAAAATCTTGAGATGGATAAAGAAAAATGAGGAAATGAGAGGATTTTGTGGAAAAATACTTATTCTAGAACTAAAAATATGAGAGATTAGAGATAATCTTTAGAATTTTAGACCAAAGAATTTTAGCCTCAATAAAGAAAATTGTGTTACTTTTAAGAGTTCTAAAACTCCCTGATAAGTGGCAGAGACAAACCAGGATGGTTCCAAATCTGTTACAATTCTTCAGACATATATCAATGAAGTAATGGATATAGAATTAGTGTATTGTGACTTTAAAGAAGTCTTCCGAAAAGTCCATTAAAAAAGAATAAGGAAATTAGTCAGAGGATGAAATAGAAATTATAGTCATGAATTAGAAAGTGGCTAAAACACAAAAGATAGGGATAAATGGCTAAATATAAACATGGCTAATGTTAATAGTGATGTGCCTAAAGGTTCTGTCCTAGAATGCATGTGAGTTTATTTCTCATTGGCAAGGAAAACCAGGATTAACAGTGAGGTGGCAAATCTACAGAAAGGGTAGATGTCTGTGAGTTAATGGTAATAGGTGATAATTGGGGAAGCTATCTTTGTAATGGGTAAGGTAGTTGGGGTCTTTGTTCAGCCCCCCGCGGAGAGTGTCGAATTTTAGCATGAATGCCAGTTCAGAGGATTCCCTTTCAAGTGCAGATTTGAAAGTCTTCTGAAGTAAGATGCATGTGATTAGGTCATTGAGACAGTGTCCTTTCTGGTTGAAATGGCAAGAAACTGTTTTTTCTTTGTGATCCTGTCTAATGTCTGTTTTGTGGGCATTGATTCTTTGGCGAAGTGTCTGAGACGTTTGTCCAATGTACATAGCAGACGGACACTTTCGGCACATGATAGCATAGATTATATTTCTGGAGGCGCAGGAATATGTATTCTTGATCTTGTAACTCACTTGGTTAGGCCCAATAATGGTATCAGCAGAGTGAATATGTGGACAAAGCCGGCAGCGGGGTTTGTTGCAAGGGAAAGTACCAGGGTTGGTATTAGTGTGGTATGTCCTGTGGTTGTTGGTAAGAATCATCTTGAGGTTAGGTGGTTGTCTATAGGAGACTATGAGTCTGTCTCCCAGAGCTTCTTGTAGTTTAGTGTCCTGTTCCAGTATAGGCTGTAATTTATTGATAATGTGTTGGACAGGTTTAAGTTGGGAGCTGTAGGTGATGACAAGTGGTGTTCTATTGTTGGTTTTCTTGGGTCTGTCTTGTAGTAGATGGTTTCTAGGTATTCGTTTGGCTCTTTCAATTTGCTTTTTTATTTCTCCGGGTGGGTAGTTGAGGTTTATAAATGCTTGGTAGAGATCCTGAAGTTCCTGGTCTCTGTCTGTGGGATTAGAGCAGATGCGGTTGTATCGAAGGGCTTGGCTATAGATGATGGATCGTATGGTGTGTGCTGGATGGGAGCTGGAAGCATGTAGGTAACTGTATGAGTAAGTGGGTTTTCTGTAGAGGGTGGTGTCTAATTTTCCATTCTTGATTTGTACTGTGGT